CCCGCCGGCTTCATGTGAAGCGCGGGCCCTCCGCCCCCTCCCTCCCCTTCCTTCCCTCCCTCCCTCCCGTCCCCTCCTCCTCCTCCTCCTCTCGCGCCCGCGCCCGCTCCAGCTCTCCGGGGCCCCCAGCCCGGCCGGGCGCTGACATCACGGGCGGGGGTCCCCGCTGCCGCCGCCTCTCGTGCAGGCTCCGGCTGGGGCTGCGGAGCCCCCGGTGCGATCATGGACCGGCCCCTGACGGCGTCCGCGGAGGCGGAGGAGGAACTGGAGTGGCAAGTGGCGAGTCGCCGGAGGAAGGCCTGGGCCAAGTGCCGCGGCTCCTGGCAGGCGTCGGAGACTGAGGACCTGTCCACAGAAGCGACGACGCAGGACGAGGACGACGACGACGACGACGAGGACCACCTCCCCGGAGCGAAGCTGCCAGCCACTGCGGGGAGAGGTCGGTGCGCCTGGCCGGGCAGAGGCGGACGGGGAAGTCGGGGAAGTGCGTGCTGGCTGGCGGGTGGGGGAAAGTCTCGTGTTCCCGAGGTGACTGCTGAGAGGTCTGGAAGGTCCACCCCGACTTGCTGGGGCGGGCGTCGAGGGACACTTTCTGACCCTTAAAGGTATGCCCTTGGCAGGGCGTCTCGGGCACGCCGATGCCGTCTCGTTTCCTTCTGATGGACACTTAAGACTGGCTGTTCCGCCTGCATTTTGCCCCCAGTAGCTTTCCCTACAAAAGAGTGTCCGCGTTGACCCCACTTTCGGAGACCACGGGTATCGGTAACAAGTTGTTCCCTCGCTTTGCCCTGCAGGAAACGTGCCCAACGAGAAGATCGCGATATGGCTCAAGGACTGCCGGTGAGTCCTCCCTTGCGCCTCTGGCGTCCTGGGGGCAGATCCACGCAGATGGGACGCTCGAGCAGAGTGACTCGGGCCGCAGTCCCTGTGGGTCCCATGGCCGTTGAAGCCTGTAAACCGGAAAGTGAGCCCACGGATAGCTTCCTCCTCTAAGCGATGAGAAATGGGAGTACAGCGACTGCTTATTCTTTGGTGAACGTGTTGAGTTTGCAGTTGTTAGGACTGTAGAGATCCCGTGCGTTATTTGGCACCAGGGATCAGGAACGGAAAACATAACCATGCCACGTTATTTGCTTGCCTAGTTTCTATTCCAAACGGTTTCCACATTTCACACTGGTTCATATTTTGTTTTTGTTTTGACATCTGTACATCTGGCATCAGATCCCTTTCCTGTCCTACGTGCTAGCTGCAGTCAGTTTGCTTAAATATATTGCCTGGGCTTTTAATTTTATTTTCTGTGCCATATTTCTGTTTGGAGAGCTATTAAAACTAACTTCGTTCTTGTAGTTTACTTCTTGGATGATCGTCAGATGGCACTGGAATCCACAGAAGGGAAATAGAACTTTGAAAGCTTTCAGACTGCATAAATCTGTTTAATTACATGCTTTGGCAACTGTTAAAAAATGTTTGATGAAGTACAGAGGTGATGAGTCATACGGCAAGAAAATCTTGCTATAGTAAAATGTGCTTGTCTCATATTTTTATTTTTTCCCCCTTCAATTTGCTACTTGTAAAATCTCACGTGAGAATGTACCTTTGTAACAATTGTTAAGGTGTTTGCTTCTGCAAATATATTTTTCCATCTCATTTGGGCATTCCTAAATCTTTTGTTCAAGTACCAGAGTTTGGAAGTCTTTTGGGGAGTGGATATGGAGGGGGTGTTTCTCATACTTGCCAGTTTATTTTTCTCCCCTAAAAACTAGATTAAATATTGGTCACTATTCTGTTTTGACTATCTGGAGCCTTACTAAACAGTCTTCATTTCAGTCTTCATTTCAGTCTTCATTACCCTGAGAGTTGTTGAAATAGATGGACCTTCTCTCTAAAGATGCACAGAGGCAGATACATTTTATGAAATCCTTGGAACCGAGATTAACAATTTAGCCCTAATGCAAAACACTGTCAAATTATAGGACTATGGCCTTTATTATTTGGTGGTTCCACTCAGAGCATGGGTTAAAAAATCATGGTAGGGTGCTATTGCTTTATTTAGTTGTCAAGCACCAGAGTAGTATAACATTTAAAAATAAGCGTAGTCAGGATCTTTTAAGAGAAACCTTCTGAAACCAGTATCTTTCAGGTTTCCTCTTAGAAATGTGTCTGAAAATTTACTTTTACCTAAGTCTTTTAAAATCTTCAATTTTACTCTTCATTTAAATACAGCACTGAGTAGGTTATTTGCCTACTCAGTTTTCAAATAGGTTTGTCATTCAAAATTTGTAGTGTTTCATTAAGTTCAAGAATGTATTTAGAAGAATTAAAAATTTAAGAGCAGGAGAAGAATGACATTTTTGTTTTATGATGTATAGGAATGGATTGTGTAAAAGAGCATATAAAATAGCAGTACATTTGTAGCATTCACCAGAACACATCACCCCGGGAAATTTCGGAAGTTTAGTTGCTGAGTTAAGTAGGTGGATTCTAAAGTCTGCTGATCCTTCCTTCATAAGTTTCCTCCTTGTTCCCAACAGTTGGCACCTTTTCTGTACAAAAGGGGCATTCACTTGCTTCAGGGAAAGCTAGAACAAATAGTCTTTTAATGTCTGTTATTATCAAAGATTTGACTGCCAGGCTGTATGCAACTCTGTTCTTTTTTTCTATAGAAACTTTGGATACTTTCCAGAGTTGGATATGTATTATTTTTTGTACATTTTATACAAATGATCTGAAGACTGCATTTTTCCCTGATAAGTTTCGAATTTCTTTTTGCTCTCTGTATCCTAAATACCACTTTGTCTTTCTTTAAAGGGAGTCTTTTATTTTGATAAGTTTTTTTTTTTCTTGTTTTGGCTAAGTGAAAACATTGCTTGAATTAACACTTAAGAAGGGATAGAGTTTTTGATAGAATTTGTAAAAGACCTATTAAGAGAGTGAGAGACTTGTTTTTTGAAGGAGAATGCCAACTATATTTCGCTTGTCATTTTCTGTTAGTACACAGACCAGTAGAGACATCCACAGGAGTAATGGTGTTTTGTCTTAATTAAGGAAGTAGTCAGCAGGGATGACAAATTAAGAGTTTTATTAAAACATATCTAAAAATTTGACCCCGATGTTTTTATCAATATCTTACGGTAGTTGCTTATGATTCTTATACATTTCAAAATAGTACTAATTTTTAAAGAACTGCCATTACTTGTACGTTCACTTGCAGAAAGTTTTAACATTTAATTGGCATTTCAGTAATCCTTTGAAGTCAACTTCAAATATCAATATTTTTAACAATTGATATCAGGTGTGGTGTGAATTTGTAGCAGGTATAAATTGTTCCTGATGAAAAAGTTGTATAACAGAATGAAACTTCAGAAAGTAAAACCTTTCAGACTTAGGGTTGTATTTTTACTTTAGTTTTGAAAAAGAAATGCATTTAAAGAGATAATGTAGGTGTTATTATTGTCTTTGTTTGAACTGAAAGAATGTGAAAGAATTTTAGCAATGGTTAGTTTATGATAAATGATTCTCAAACTGACTGTATAATGCTGTTCTTTTTTGAGTAACAAAGACTGCCATTGGGTATAGTTGGGGTGAAGGAGGTAGTGTGTGGTGCTTCGTAATGCTACTGACATATTTAACAGATGAGATTTAAGAAAATTTCTAGGTCTTCAGTCTAAACTCTGAACTTTTAATTTTGCTAAGGAAAACATTTGTTTTCTTTTAATTTTGTTTCCTGTTTCTAGGGAAGGGGTTGATGGGAGCAAACATTTTCGTAATGCCTGCCCTTGCTCTCTTTTTCTACTTTGTAAAAAAAAAAAAAAAAATGCAAATCATATATTTGTAGCTTGCCATTCTTATTCTTAATTGCTGGTAGATCAGACATGTGACTAAATCATTACTGGTGAAACTGACTTGACTATAGGTTTTTGCTTAGTTAGTAGTTTACTACTTACGTAATCCAGTGCATTCCATATGTGTTTGGGAGGAGATTTATGATTGAACGCTTGCTTAGCTACAGCTCTTTAAGTGTAAGGCTGTGCAGTGAAAGCTCTCCAGACAGCTTTTTAAACTAAGGCTTATGTTTATGTGGTTGCAGTACCCCTTTGGGAGCCTCGCTGGATGAACAAAGCAGTAGTACACTCAAGGGTAAGAGAAAGCTGCCTTTCTAAATGCCTTCTTTATAAGGGCTCTGCTTCATTTGTTCTCTGAATATGTATGTGAGTTAAAAATGTGATAGGCATGTTCATAAAATGAGCTCTTGCAAAAGCTAGAAGCTAACATGGAGAAATGTTGTAATAAGCGGTGAGTTTAAGCAAATTGCCAAACCTCTCCATGGTGTGAAACTCTTATATTTTATTGTTCAGTTGGAAATTATAAAGACTAATTTATTATAAAAATATGGTGTGTAAACATAAGGAACATATTTATTAACTAAGCCAACTTAGTGCAGCATTTCTTTGCTTATTAACTGAAATTGCTATACCTGAAATTTTGCCACCTGTGCAAAACAGAATTTTCAAGTTCAAACTACAAGAATGTGCAGATAGTGGCAAAGCATGTTTTTTTAAAAAAGTTCACAACATGGGGGAAATCTTGTTTGAGGTTCTGAGTAAATATGAGGGGTAAAAGGAATATTATCCAGGATCTGGTTTTCCATGAAACCCATGGGTAGGATATGTTTTCTTAGTGAAAGATATACTGAGTATAAAATAGCCTCTAGATTGGTGAAGTAGAATTTATCTGGCTACGAATCAATTACATAATCAAAATAATTTCTGAATACACTCAGATCTGCTCATTTCACTGTATCTTATAAAATACTTTGTTTGGTCAGTTTGCTTTAATTAAAACAATGATTTTATATGGACATAAGAAAAACAAAACTGGTATGAATCTTGTAATGTTTCAGGTGTGCTTGTGAAAAATGGAGGAAGTTTTGAAGATGATTTGTCATTGGGAGCTGAAGGTATGTTTGGAAGAACTATATTTTCATGTAGTTTTACAGTTAAAGTGATAAAGTCTAGTTATTTCAGATATATCATACTCAAAGCTGAATTTAAAGTTCTTGAAAATGGCTCAGATACATTTTATGAACTTTTTATGTCAGTAAACTAGTGAAAGCCTAGAATATATGTAGAATGGCTCTGATAAACCATTGTGAAATGGCCATATGTCTTCCTTGGACTTTATTGTTTAAAGGAACTGTTGGGGGCAAACAATGGTAATATAATGGAGGGAAGAATTGTCCTGCAGAAGGAAGGAAGCTTAAATATTTATAATGAGAAAACTAAATTGAAGCTTATTTTTAGTGTGAGGTACATACCCTTATGTCAGACTTACAGCTGCATCTTGTCTCTTTGCTCTTGTCTTTTCCTCTCCCTCTTTTACCAGATAATTCGAAGATAAAAGGATAAAACTAAAAATAGCATAGTTATTAGAATTTAATCAGAAGCCATTATGTTGATGTCTGTTTCCATCTGCGCTAGCACTTAAAGAGTTTATTGTACTGGGCCCTCCCTGGTGGCTCCAGGGATTAAAGCAGAGCACTGTGAAGCTACCACAGCCACTGCAGCGCCACAGGTCCTATCCAGGCCAGGGAGGTGTCCCAGCTGATGTGGCAGACCTCTCCTGACCTATCCACTGCTCTGCTGCTCCCTTCAGCAGTGCATTTTAGTCAGTCGGCCTGTTCTGCTCCCCTTCTGTCTCTGGTGAATCCTCTCACCTCCCCTCCCCTAGCTGTGGCCAGTACCCCAGTTCTGTATGAATAAAGAAATAAACCTTTAAAGAGTGTATTGTACTGTTTATATTTTCACATGTTGTAGAATCTTCCTGTGGATTCATATTTAAACTATCTATAATGTAAAATTAAGATTTTAACATTATTTTATAGTTATTTTAAAATTACTGGTATAAAGCTAGGTTATTAGCATGTGCTTTTTTTTAAAAAAATTATGGGTTTAGCAAATCTGTTTAAATTTAATAATAAATTTATCTGCTGAATTTAATGTAATTGACCTTTTGGTGTTTTAAATCAGTCTTATTTAGAACCTCCTAACATTGACATTTCAACAATATGTGAATATGTTAGTTTTTATTATTTCTGTTTATATGTTTTCATGAAATAACATCTGCATAAAGCTTAAGTTAACTGCTTCCCAATCAACACATTTAAATATATTGTCAATCCCTTATTAAAGGCATTTTAGTATTAATGTAAATAACACTTTTAATATCTCCCTTACTTTCACAATATTGAGTTTTTATGAGTAGTTTTAAGTTACAGAAAAATTGGGGGACAGGTTCAGAGATTGCCTATCAACTCCCTGCATACATAGATTTATAGCCTTCCCCACTGTCCATACCAGATTGTGGTAGATTTGTTGCATTGCTGAACCTACATTGAGGTGTCATAATTACCCAAAATCCATAGTTTACATTAAGTTTCACTCTTCTTGTACATTCTGAGGAAAATACATAATGACGTGTAGCTGTCAATACGATATCATATAGCATATTTTTACTTCCTTCCTTAAATATCTCCCGTTCTTCTGTGCTGTGCCTGTTCATCCACATTAAGTGATTTTATTGGAAATCAGAACCTGTAAGGAAGTCCCATAAAGGAGTGGAGCTACTGTGAAAATTACTCAAGATTATTTATTCAAATTATTTCAAGATTACTTTCAACTGCAGTAAATATTGAGTACAAAGTGCTAGCCACCTTTCTTGTGTATGTACAGGAAGCATAAGAAATTGCCATGATTTTGCAGATTAGAAGTGAACAAAAAAAAAAAGCCATTGTGCTAAAATAGATAAATAATTCTTTATGTATATTCATCTATAAAGATTAAATATAATTCTTTATATTGGTCTGTAAATATTAAATGTAAATTTAACAGAAAGTATTTGTGTGTTTAGTTAACTAGGATAAAGTTGGAGGGCTATTTTTAAAACAAAACTTCCATTGTAATGATTAGAAACTTTTAAAATATGTACATAAAAAATTAGTTGTAACTGGAATGGATTTTCAGCCTTAAAAAAAACCACATTAGAAATTTATGTATATCCTATTGCCACACTTAAATAATGCCATTATATTTGCTTTTTAGGTATTCTTTATTAACAGCACTTAATTATCAGAACCATATATGCTTTTTAACTTCCTCTTACTACTTCTGAATTATTAAGAAAATTCAGTTGGTTAGCTGTTCTTTTTACTTTAAGCATTCAGGGTAGAATAATTAGTTTTACATTACTAAAAACAAGGACACCTCCAAAATGTACTGGCTCTGTCCTTATCTGTGTATAGTGTATTATTTTAATGACACAGACTTAATGAACCAAGACAGGAGTTTAGTATATGAGACAATTAACTGTAATACTGTGGTTAATTTGCTCTCTTAATGATTGCATCATGTAGTTATTGTCCTACTAATTGTGATGTGCATTTATTCTTTTTACTTGTAGCCAACCACCTCCATGAAACTGATGCTAGAATTGAAAACTGGTAGGTAGCTGTATTTTCTTTTTAAAAATAAAGCATACTGAAATATGTATGTCTATATATTTAAAAAATAAAATCTTGTGGAGAAAAAAAATGCAAGAAAAAAAAATAAAGCATACTTATGAGAATGAGGCTTTATATAATCCAATTTTGTTTATAGCAATAACATTTTGGCCAAAGAGAGAAGACTACAGTTTCATCAGAAAGGGAGAAGTATGAATTCCACTGGATCTGGGAAAAGTAGTGCGACAGTCTCAAGGTAACTTATTCTGAAATGATGGTACACTTAAGTTGTGTTATAGATGACCTGTTCATCACTGTTTAATTCTTGGGTTTGTCCTGGTAGTATGCAGTTATTAAAAGAAATTCAGAGTGTTTCATGAATCAGCACAATTCAGCAGATTCTTTTTTTTTTTAAATAAAATTAAAAGTAACAAATAATATTTATAGTGCTGCTGAGGATTAGCCAGCATGTTGAGCCTTAACAACCTGAAAGAACTTCATAGTGAAGCAACTTTTCTTCCAGCATTCTCCAATCTACCTGAGTATTAAGTTACTCTAACATAAAAGTCAGGATAAGCCTTACTAATTTAAAACTTTGAGATTTAAATAAAGATTTGTTTTCACCTTATTAAACCGAAGATCTTTAAAATATATATTGAAATAAGCAAATACATGTGCCTGTGGAACCAGTTTAAACTGTTAATCCAAATTGTTGTATTGGTATGTGAAATTGCCTTCTGTTCAAGTTCCATCTCTAACATTCCTGTTTTCTTCACCAAGTCTGAGAAAGCGTACATTATCACTGGTATGAGTGATAAGATGATAATTATGGCATAATTAATTTCCAGTAGAATTAGAGCAAGGTGTTGTCTTTGATTGACTGATACTCTCCTTACTTTACTCCTCCTACTTCCTGAGTAGGAAACATTATAGAGAAAAGTTGGAGAAGGTACACTCCTCCCTTAGGTTTAAGATCAGGTTGCTAGTCTAGGACAGGCAAAGAGAAGAAAAACTGAAGTTCTGCAACTTTATACTAAAGTTCTACCAACTTTACATTTTTCCTTATCAGTTCTACTTTAACCCTTTTCTTACTCGTCTTTCTTCCTATAGTTTTTAGCTACTTTATTGAGAATCTCTTAAAATGTCAAAAAAAATAAGGTGAGGAATCAAGGGTCTTTAATTTAGTGTGCTGTTAGGGGTCAACAATACAATACAAACAACTTTTGAGATAATGGACTCTTTAAGTGTTATATTTCATATTTAGCATGCACTTTATAAAGATGTTGAAGTAATGGTTTAAAGAACAGAAGCTGTAGAAAAATATTTTATCACTGGAAAGAATATTATTAACTCGTAAACATGAGGTCTGTTATAAGCTTGTTTTATCTTGATTTTTTCCCCTTCTTTTGTAGTGTTTCAGAATTGTTGGAACTTTATGAGGAAGATCCTGAAGAAATTCTTTATAACCTTGGATTTGGACGTGATGAACCAGATATTGCTTCTAAAATTCCTTCCAGATTTTTTAATTCATCATCATTTGCCAGAGGGATAGACATTAAAGTATTTTTAAGTGCTCAGATGCAACGGATGGAAGTAGAAAATCCAAATTATGCTTTGACAAGTAAGGGTTTTAATTGTTAGCAAACGCTTTTAAATTACAGTATCCACAGTGTGATGTCTGATTTTATTGGAAATTTTAATTACTAGGGGTAATTAGCACAATAACATTTACTTATTCTGAATTTTTATTATCCTTTTTTATAGAAATTAACTTACCTACTCCTTTCCTAGATCTTGACTTTTAAAAGTGTTTAGCTTACTTAAACTTTCCCTTAATTGCTGCTGTTGAAGAAGGGAAGAAATAGGGAAAGGGACTGTTATTACTAAATGATGTCAGTTAGTTTTAGGTGCTTTTCTGTAAATATAAGACAGCATGAAGTTTTAATTAAATAGATCATTTTTTATTCATATTGAGTCTAACGTTTTGCTTTCTGACCATATATTCCAAAAATGATATCCTTAGGTAGTCCTTGGATTAAGGATCTAGAAGTCCTTTCCCCAGCTTCCCCCAGTTAGGACTAAAATACCTATTTCTTTATACTTTACTAGGAGAACATTTGGAAGAATATTAATGGAATCTGAGACCTAAAAAGTGATTGATAGCTGTAGATCAGTAGACTTTTCCATTCTGTTCAGTCTTGTGCTTCATTCTGCTGTATTAAAAAGTAAATTCTAGTGCTTAGAGCAAAAAGTCTGCATCCTTCTCCCCAGTAAAATAGAAAAGTTTTAAATGTTAGATAAGGGGAAAAAATCTTATTTTACAATTTTTGTAAATTAAATTCAGTTATTTGGGTCCTCCCTGGTGACACAGCAGGTTAGGACACAGCACTGCAAACTAGCCCAGTGGCTTCAGTGCGAATTCAATCCCCGGCCCTGGAGGTGACCCACATGATGCAGCAGACCTCTCCTGTCTTTCCCGCTGCTCCCCTCAGCAGTGTACTTCATTGATCTGCCTGTTCTGCTCCCCACTCTGTCTCTGGTGAACGCTCTCCCCATCCCTGCATCCTAGTTCTGAATGCATAAATAAATAAATCCTTAAAAAAAAAAATAAGAAATTCAGTTATTGGATTTCTAAGCAATAATAATGGTTTAAAATAAGTATGTATGAACACACAAATACATATATATATATATATATATATATATATATATATATAAAATCTATTTTCTTTGTTTTTCTGTAGGTCGTTTTCGTCAAATTGAAGTGCTTACTACTGTTGCCAATGCATTTTCTTCTTTATATTCCCAAGTCTCTGGGACTCCCCTGCAGAGAATTGGAAGTATGTCCTCAGTGACCTCTACTAAGGAGACAGACTCCCCTCCACCTTTAACCCGAAGTAACACTGCAAATCGTTTAATGAAAACACTATCAAAACTAAATTTATGTGTTGATAAAACAGAAAAAGGAGAAGGTAATAGTCCTGCTCCAGCAGTTGAAAAAGGAAAAGTTCTAAATGTTTCAGTGATTGAAGAAAGTGGAAATAAAAATGATCCAAAGACTCAAAAAGTTGTAAAGAAAAAAGACTCGTCTTCTATGTTGGCTACAGTAAAAGAAGAAGTATCAGGTAGTTCAGCATCTGTAATGGAGAATGCTGGTATTAATATGCTTTCTCATGAAGCAAATAGTAATTTTAATCAAGATACTGAAAATGAACAAGTCAAAGAAACTCAAAGTGATGAGAATAAACTGGATGAGGAATCTGTTACTCTGGAACCTGATGCAGGTGGGTTCCACATGTCCAGCCATAGTGAGCTGGAAGATAGCAGTGAGCTGAAAAATGTCCTTGTGTCCACACCTGAAAAAGAACCATATGCACCACTGACAATCCCATCCATAAGAAATATAATGGCACAGCAGAAGGACTCCTTTGAAATGGAAGAGGTAGGTAAAAACTTCCTGAGACTTCTTTAAAATAGGGTGGGGAAGTGCCAAAAATGTTAAAAGTGACTAGAAAATGTCATCCTAATTTTGACTTTCCAGGGTTTATTATTATTTTTATTTTGTATTTCACAAAACAAGACATGGTCATAGGACAATGTGATGTTAAAATAATGTGACAGTTCATCAGCTTCTCTGGGTTCTCTATCATCTACTATTGACACTTGAACTTCAGCCTCCTTTCTCTCTGTTTAATATTTTCATCCCCTGAGAAAGTCCTGAGAGAATATTTTCAAGTTCAATTAAATATTGCATAATAATTAAAAACATAGGCGCTGAAATCAAGCCGGGATTCCAAGTTCTGTCTCTACTACTGAATTGCTGTGTGTCTTTAGGAAGCTTTTCTGAAAGTTTCAGTAGAAAGGAAAAGTGTAAAAAATGCATTTGGAGACAGGTTTGGTTATGGAAGAGAAGAGGGTGGGGAGCCTTGAAGACTGAGTAGATTTGAAAGGCTACTAGCAGGGCTTCTGCAAAGAAAGGCCATTGTTTGGGTAGGTCTTATTGTTCTGTAGCAATATGCCTGCTCACGTACATAAATTTCAAAGCGCACAAGGTAAGTATCTTTACTTTGATGGGGCTCAGCTAAAACTGCTCTTGAATTTTTAGGGCTAATAATTCTGTGTTGAAACTGTGTAGCTTGGGGCAGGAAATTGTTTATCAAGTAGCAGATGTCAGACACAGCATTAGGCCCTTGAAGTATTTTTTCTATTTCAGTTGTGAATCAGGCAGTGGTGTGTCATTTTACCCATGAGGAAATTGAAACATACAAGCTAAAGAGTTGAGGCTATATGTTATAAAATGGGTAGGTTTTCTTTCTTTTTTTTTTTTTTAAAGATTTATTTATTTATGCATACAGAACTGGGGTACAGGCCAGAGCCTTGGGGCGGTGAGAGGCTTCACCAGAGACAGAGTGGGAAGCAGAACAGGCAAATCGACGAAGTACACTGCTGAGGGGAGCAGCGGGTGGGTCAGGAGAGGTCTGCCACACCATGTGGTCACCTCCGGGGCAGGCAGGAATTGAACTCATGCGGAAGTGGCTTTAGCTTCTCAGTGCAGTGCTTTAACCCGCTGCACCACCAGGGAGGGCCGGGTAGGTTTTCTTTTTAAACCTGTTACCTAGAAGTTTTGCTAGTGCCTTACACTAGTTTTAGGATCACATGCCATTATTTAGAGAATCAGAAAACAGGATAATTGATTCTGCCCATAAATGTCCTGTTAGGTATCTGGTACAGTGAGAGGATTTTTACTTTTTTGCAAAATTTCAGTTGCTGAAATGGAGATTTACCTTTTTTGTAGCCTTTGAATGTGTCTTTTAATACTTCCAACCAAAAACTGAAGTCAAAAGAGATTTGAAATATTTTACAATATCTGTAATCTTTTCCTTTATTTCTTTTTAGCTTTTACACTTCTGTTTAATACTTCATATAATTTGGTTCTCATGATGATAAATTTGAGGAATGACAACTTTATGATGGCTACTTTATTTAAAATTTTGTGTTCCATTCACTGAGAACTTTTTGAGTTTGTTTTAGTCTAAACTTGTGGCACTTACAATTAAAATATAAGTTGTTGCCTTAAACTCTCTCTTTTGACAATCAGGTAGGAAATTAGTTTCCTTATTTTAGTATAACAGTAGAGTATAAAATTAAAATAAAATGTTAGATACTTGTAATTCTGGTGTCAGTGGCTTATGATACTCTTACATGTTGTTTTTAATGTCTAGAATTCTTGAATCCTATGCTGTGCTCCTAAAAAATTACTGATATTATATACAAAGGTTCTTGTAAATGTTTATATTGTGCCAGCTGGATGTCCTTTGACAGCAAGTTAAATTTAATGGTAAAGTGGGTTTTTTTTTGCTCCCTCTACTGGCAAAAGCAGTTAGTAAAGAAAGTAATAGGACACTGGACTGAGCAATTGTTTTTTGTTTTTTTTTGTTTGTTTGTTTTTTTTAAAAAAAAAACATGTTTTAGTGGTTCAAGAGTAGTGGAAGATTTTTGTTCTTAAAAATAGAATATATGATCTACCATAGTTCATTGTAAAAATGGGGAATTTTTTCTTCAGATTTATTTAAAGGATGGATTAAAAACCTCCTCCTAGAATTGTTTATATCCCTTGGGGAACTTTTAAAGAGAACATGGGGAACAATGGATAAAGAAGGGAAATAATGTGTTTCTTTAATTTCCTCTTCCCCCAAGTATGATTTGAATCATATTGACATATGAAGAGAACAATTTTGTTGAGGCAAATTTGTAGATTCCATTCAAAGTAGGCTGTTACTGGTTTTCTTTTGGACTCCTTTCCCTGGAGATTTGATTCTTACTGGGAACTTTCTTCCTGTAAAAACAGAGAGTAAATATATCAGAGTGTACTTGCTCAGTAAGTTATTCCTCAGGTAGATGAACTGATTGCCAGCTGCAATCAGCTGCAATTTGGGCAACTGGGGGAGAAAATGATGGCAGACAAGCTCTGCATGAAGCTCCAGACCCTTCTGAGGCAGAAGGTAAGGTCTGATAGTCTCAAGGAATGACGACCATCTTGATGGCAGGGTGGTTAAATAGGTGACAGGTTTGATCCAGACCTTGGAGAATGAAAGTGTTTTTCATGTTAAAAAAGAAGGGCCAGGTTATTTTCATTTAGCTGAATATGCCTATAAAATGTTTGTAGAATTTTAAAAAATGTTTTAGTGTATCTAAAAGTTATGCATCTCTACTTTTGAGTTTTCTAACTCTTAATAACTAACCTTAATGATTCTTGCAGTCTTCTTGAAATTACGTACTTTCAGTAAATACATCGTGGTGACTCTTTAGAACCATAGATTAGTGTTAGGAATGATTCACATTTAAGCCATAATATGATCCTGTTCAGGAACCATTATTCATATTTTAGGCATAGAAGAAAAATGTTTAAGGAAGTATTTTTGTCTGTGTTTCTATAAATATATTGTTCTCCATAAATGAATTTATATTCAAATCTAGGTATTAGTGGATATGCATATATTTTTATAAGCCACTGAAATTTTAGTAAGTATGTAATTCTCTTTACACTGACTACTATCATCAATATACCTCATTACTTATTTTTAGCTATTAAATTAAGTTAAAGCAATTACCATCAGTCAGGCATTTGATAGATGGATGTTTTTTTGACCTTTAACATATATAGGTTTTGAAAGCTGATAATATGTCTGCAATAGAATGAGCTCTAAAAGATGACATATGCTTGGATGTCTGTTATTTCAAAACCCTGTTAAATGCCGTTTTGCTGTTTGCTATGATCTAAAAAAATGAAGTCAACATTTTTCTTAAGAATTTTTGACATTAAAAGTAAACTCTGTGTGTGTAAAACTTGGGAGGTTTTATTAGAAGGTGAAATTTGCAAATAAATATAGAATAAGTACTCTGCAACAAAATGGAATCCTTGAAATATTTTCCATTTTCTCCCTTTACAAATGAGGTCAGATTTACCCCCAATTTTTCAGAGGATATAATTTCTAAGAAATTATATCAGTGACTTACAGCACCATAGGGGAGAAGGGCAGGAGGTTGTCGGAAAGTGATCTTCTGTTGCAGTCTTTACCACTTTACTATTTCAGAATGCTTCAATCACATTTGATCAACCTGTGTCATCCTTAGAAGTTTTAATCTTTACAGTTAAGAAAGCTGAGATAATCATCACAGTTATCTGACACCATTAATCCTGTAAGTGACATAAATCAAATTTGAGCCCAGATCTTTGTATGAATCTGTGTTGAGCCACATCAGACGGCTTGCTAAATGTCAGTTTGGCTAAATGTAAGATCAGACATTGGACAAGAGCTCTTGTCATCTGATGCAGACAGCCCTTTACTACTACTTTGGAAAAATAATACTTCCCTTTGAATTTTTGAAGATGTACTTAAAAATTAAGCAGAATTATAATTTTTAAAGTTCCTGTTTTGATTTCTTGAATGAAGTGGTATTGCATTATAACCTGTTATATGTATATATTTCAGGTGTACATCATTGAAATTCAAATAAATAAATAAATATGTATGTATATGTGTAATAAATAATTGATTTTCATTTTAAAAAACACCTATGCAATGTCTCTTAAACCTGAAAGAAAGGTTATTTTTGTAACAACATGCATGCTACTGCTGTGTGGAATGCAATACAGTAATATTGTGCCAAGATAGTGTATCTCAGTGAAGATGAATGTTGCAAAGTGTAAAAAGTCTAAGTAAGGAAGTAGGAGAACATGAATCGAAAAAGGTATTTCTTTTACTAAGACATTTTTTAACTGAAGTAACCTAAATGTGTGGGTTATTGTAAACATGTTCTCATATAACTCTTAACTCTCCAAACACTAAGATAAGACAAAAAAAAAAAAACTTTTTAAAGATTTATTTATGCATATATATATCCTCTGGGGTACAGCAGAGGTGCAGGGGTGGTGAGAGGTTTGACCAGAGACATAGTGGGGAGCTGAACAAGCAGATCAATGAAGTACACTGCTGAGGGGAGCATTGGTTGAGACAGGAGAGGTTTGCTGTTCCATGTGGCTCACCTCCAGGGCAGGGGATCCAACTCACACTGAAGTGGCTGTGGCTAGTTCTCAGTGCTGTGCTTTAACCCATTGCGCCACCAGGAAGGGCCAGACCAAACATTTTTATTATTTTGGTATATTGGTGCTTTTTTATTAAAAAAAGTATATATATTACTCAAAGTTTCAAACTTGACCAAAAATTGTAGAAAATCTCATAATGAACTGCTATTAGCTATCACTAAATTTCGTTTACAATTTTTTTAAAAGATTTATTTATTTATGCATACAGAACTAGAATGCAGGCCAGGAGTGCAGGGGCAGTGATTCACCAGAGACAGAGTGGGGAGCAGAACAGGCAGACTGATGAAGTACAGTGCTGAGAGGAGCAGCAGGTCAGGAGAGGTCTGTGGTGCCTCCTGGGTGGGGATCGAACTCTTGCTGAGGTGGCTTTAACTTCTTTGTGCTGTGCTTTAACCCTCTGCGCCACCAGGGAGGGCCCCTAGTTTACAATTTTTAACTAGTATTAATTTCATGAAAGGCAGCCTGTAGCTAGTAACCAGTTTTGCTGAGGTTTTAAGACCACTGAAAAGGGAAAATCATGCTACATAAATCTATGTTTTTTATTTTCTTCAAAATTTCCTATAGTGGACCCCATTTTGAGTTTCATCGCTTTACTTTGTGCAGTTATAACCTATTAACATTAGTATGACTTTTTTGTTATCGACATTGATTGATGATTTTTGCTGAATAAAAAGGATATTAGTTTTAGTAATTTTATTAGTAAAATTAACTCCTCTCTTTCAATTAAATATGTATCTTTAAATTATGCAGTTTATGAAAGAGTAGACCATTATATTTATTATGCCATAGAGTAGCATCTTGAAGGTAGTATACTGAGAGATACGTTATTCATGAAAAGCCTTGTTATTGGGTGACTGACTTTTCTAATTTCAAAGAATAGAATGTAATAATTCAGTATTTTAAAATGAGATTGTAATTTTTCTATCATAACACAATGCTTAATCTAAGAGTCCTAGAATGTAAATAGAATGTAAATAAAAAGGCACTTGGAGCCCTCTTTTATTTTTTGGGCTATATGATAATTTATTTTCCAGAAAACTCTTGAAAGTAGGCTAGATCTGAATGGAGACTAATATAGTCTTGTTGAATATTTAAAAAAAAAAATTGTTTCCTTGCAGAGAAAAACAATGGTTTTCCTGTTGAACTTGTTATTCCTGCTTTGAAGAATATAATACGATAATTTTCAGTAATAACAAAGAATAGTAGAAACTATTTATGTATGATTTATAGATGATGGTTTTAAATAACCACTGTTGTTTCAGTTTTCGAAAGTAGCATAAACTTGGATTCATGGAACTAAGTGGAACAATGATATCACAAAGCAGAGCAATTTTTGTGTTACATAACAGCTGTACTCTCTGAGCTTTTTTCTATATCGATCATTGCACTCCCATTTCTATGGAGTATTTTCTTATTCTTGAATGAACCATTAACTCAGAATACCCGAGTTCTACCTAAAATTTGCTGGCTGTCTGCTCTCATATTTTTTCAAGGTTGAACACCTACATTGGCTAATTTTCCTACTGTACTAGCATTATTTTAAGTACCTATGTATTACCTAATATGTTACAAATTATTATTACCTGCACCATCCAAATATTTAATTTTTTTTTAAAGATTTATTTATTTGTGCATACAGAACTGGGGTACAGGCCAGAGGCTCAGGGGCAGTGAGAGGCTTCACCAGAGACAGAGTGGGGAACAGAACAGGAAGATCGACGAAGTACACTGCTGAGGGGAGCCCGGGCAGGTCAGGAGAGGTCTGCCACACCATGTGGTCCCCTCCGGGGCAGGCAGGAATTGAACTCATGTGGAAGGGGCTTTAGATTCTCAGTGCTGTGCTTTAACCCTCTGCGCCACCAGGGAGGGCCCCAAATATTTAATTTTATTACAGAGTTAGGTATGCTCGAATAGACTGTTGGTGTGGTAAAGAAGAAATCTAAATATTCCTAAATTACAGAGTTGGACAGGTAGGAAAATAATGCACAAAAGACAGCTTTTGTAGATACCTTTTCTGGACATGATTTTTAGGGAGGATTTATGGTTCAGGTCTTTCAATTTTAGTTTTTTAATGTACTTTTCCATGTACAGCTCCCAGGTTATGTTACTTAAAAGAACATTTAAGTCAGGCAGGGCAGTACTACATATGAATGGTTTGTGGGATTTTATAAAGTTGTGGTATGATGGTAGCAGTATGCCAGTTTTCAAGTGCAAGACATGTAATTGCATCACCTCTGTCAGTAATAGCCTGTTAAAATGAATGTATTGATATTTATCCTGGGATAGATCTTACCCTTTTGACATGTAGAGAGCTCTTCTTTGAATATATTTTTCATTTAATGATAACTTAAAACTAGCTATACATGTAGTCATTTTTCTTTGCTAGTTACAAACTTGCAGCACTATTAAAAACTGTAAAATAGATCATAAAATTAAGTTGTAGGGTATTCTAACTAGTTTGAAATAACATTACTTGTTAAAAGCTACGTGAAGCTTTGGTACACATTCAGATTGATTTGCTTATTAATAAATAATTATCAGGAGGTGTTGTTCTTTGCCACATATTTGATTCTTTTAGTTTTGGGTATTTTATTCTTTTAGTTTTAACACAAAACTGTTCTTTAGGTTCAGAGCACAGAGGGAGAAGCTCCCCATGTTCCAGCCACATATCAGCTAGGTCTTACCAAATCAAAAAGAGGTAAGCAAACTAGTATCTTCTATTTCCTGAATATATTATCAAAGCGGTAATAGTTGATTTGGAAAGAAGTTTTAGCTATTTACTTGTAAGTGGAAAAAGAAAAGCACCGTGGTATGCATACTTCTTTATGGTTTGCTTGTAGAATTTCTTTTGTATTGAAGACTTTTGTGCCATATGTGTAATATTAATTTGCTTATCCTTTGATGATGTGTTAGACAATTTTATATACTCTATTTTTCAATTCTACATTAAGGCTAAATCTGAAGATGTAGTAAACAACAGACTTACAAATCCTTTTTACATTGTTCTGATTGAAATACACACTTGAAATATTCATTTCTGAATTTTCATTATTTAAATATGATTCCTAGGTATAAAATAGGAACATGCCTCTGGCAATAAACCACAAATGTCTCTCAGCAGCAGTTAAAGCTAGTTAAATTAAATTCAAACTGTGGATCAAAGGTTACATATCATTCTTCTCTTATATTATTAATTATTGACCAAGAACCTTTGAATCCACTCCTCTTACTTTTAATTTACATGAGAAAAATCATGCAGATCTTCCTTAATTTACACAACCTTTGAGACTTAAAAAGAGGGAAAGGACAGAAGAAGTTCAAATGACCACTAAAGGTAGGACTGACTATGTTTTGTTTTTTTAAACAAAGATTCAGATGTTTGTTTTCTTTTGATTACTAAAAATGACTTCATGAGAGACAATTTGCATATGACTTGCAATATGACACTAAGAAACAAGAGCTCTACTCTCACTACATCACTATAGCTTTGATCAAAAACAAATGATCCTTCCTATTTAATGTTTTCCCCTTGTAAGTCCATAACTACATGTATTGTTTCTAAACTGTAAGGGAAAAATGACAGTTACTACTGAATCTTTAGATAGATAGGGAGGTGACAAAGTGTGGAATCACTTTGCCCTTTCTCTAAAGGGGATAAAAACAGTATAATTACATTAAGATCTTCCAAGAACAATTTTCCTGTAGTCGGACAAATGGCATGTAGTTGGTATTCACATCTGTGGGTTTGTTTGTTTTCCTTTTATTGACACGGGGCTTCATATTTCTGGGGGCATAAGTAAAGAGGCAACATTTTTGTTAATCACATTTTTATAAATTAATAGTGTTTGTGAAAGAGAGGTAGAAACTGTTTTGTTTTTGAAAATACTGATCAGATTTTGATATTGTGATGTATATTAGATTAATCATAATTGCAGAATCAGTGATTATTCCTTTGACAAGTTTAACAAAAGACATATAGTGCATGTATAAAGACACTTCACACTTACTTTAGTAATAAGATTTTTGAAATTACAACATCTTAACCTCTAGTATAGCCCAGGGATTTATACTGAATCCCAGAGAGGTTTAGTGATTTATGTCACAAGCTAACATTCAGCAGATATGTTGAGAGATGTCCAACATTGTTCTTATCACAGAAGACAAGCACTATTTTCTTTAGTCTATCAGTGTATATCTCTGTTCTGTTTTTTTTTAATCATACTAAACAAAATTTTCAGATTTTGTTTTCTTACTATAATGCTTGTGAAAGTTATTAGAAATAATGCCTTATCTCTTCAATGAGGATGGACAACCAATACTTTTCAGTTCTACCTTTTTCTGTGGAGACATGTTTTCTAAAGTCCTATATTCTGGCTTGTAATTAACAGGATAGCGTCTTAGGCATTCATCTTCGTTCTTGAAGTAGCTCTTTGAAATAGATAGGAGAATTTTAACTTGTTTTTGAAAGAGAGAGTTATGCTATTGCTTATGGCATTAACATGGGAACTCAAACCCAGGCCGCCTTGTCCTCCACTGCACCTGCTCTGAAGCCAAAGCAGTCTGTAGTCTGCCCTGACCTGTGTGAACTCAGACAGAGTTAACCACAGAGAGGGAATGTGGTACAGACTGTGCTAGATAAAACAGATACTAGCAGAGAGAACCTGGGTGGAGTTGGTCTCTTTGGCCTCCCTGGACTCTCCTGACAACTGTTCTATCCCGCCATATGGGCAACTTCCTTTCTGTATCTTTGAAGCAACTACTTAATTCTGTTGCTTGTGGGAGATAGTTATCATTGATTCATTCAGCAAACTTTTTTTTTACTGTAAGTAAACTTGTTCTAGATACTGGGATACAAAGAAGAGTAAAGAAGGTTCCTACCTTCAGAGAGCTCATACTCTAGTAGTTTTCAAGGCATGAAAGCATGTAATTCTGGTGATAACTACTAGGAGTCAGTACATTTATCATTTTATCAATATAATATGTAATTATGGTAGAAGTGCTTATGGTAGAAGCTTATTGCAGTTCAGTTTCAGTTATTCCAGTTTATCTAGATTTATCAAGGCTATGAATCAGTCTCTTAGATTTTGAAGTTTGTTAACTTAAAAATAAGACTGAATTATTTTAAATTTTAGTAAGAATAAGAAGATTCCATTTCATGGTGCTCTGTGTTGAGCCTGATAATGCAATGGGATAAACTTTGATTTTATATTTTATCCAACATCAGTTCTTGGTTTTTTTCTTTATATTTAATACATATTTTTTTACATTATTCTTCATTTTATGCATTTTTTTAAAATCTCAGTTGTAATCCCTGTCGACTTAATCACCACCACTTCACCCATGTGCCAGCAGCATATTCCATGTGCTTTCCCACCCAAGATTTGATCTTGTTCCTCTCTCCTCCCCTGTGGAATGTTTTGGTTTATAGTTGTGAGTTGATGTTTTTTTTATTTTATTACAATTACTATATGTACTGTATTTTTTTTTCCTCCTGATCCCTTACACTCCTGCTATGAATGAAACCATCTGGTATTTTTCTTTTTCTTTCTGGTTTATTTCACTAAGCATGATCTCTACCAGCTCCATCCATGTTGCTGCAAATGGCACGAGGTTTTTTTTTTCATTGCTGAGTAATACTCCATTGTGTTTATAAACATCTTCTTGATCCAGTCATCTGTTTTGGGGCATTTGAGTGGATTTCAAATCTTCCCTATCATAAGAATATCAGTTAACTATTCCATTCAGTGAATGTGCATTTTATAAACATATTTTATTTATCCCATTGTTTTGAAGTTCTTCAAAAATTGCCTGTTTTGTGAGTCTTATACCTTAATGAATATGATAATTTTAAAGTCTCTCATACTTTGGCAGTAGTGGTATTAGTGAGCTTGTAGTCATGCTTGCTGTACTCTGTTGCTTTTTACTGCAAAAAAGTTTTGTTAGGTCAATAAGAATAAGAGTTTTGAGAAGAAAGTTAAACAGGGGTTTTAGAAGCTTAAATATATTATGTCCTGATCAAATTTAAATATTTGTGTCTCATGAAATTGTTTTGAAATAACTTTTCAATAACTTAGAAATCTTTGCATATTTCAGTGATATCAGTGACATTAAGTAGTCTTGCATACAAATAATTTAAATTGATCTTAATTGTGTTTTCATTTTTCTACAAGGAAGATAATACAGAGTTTTACACTTCACACTTTAATGTCTAATTTCATCTACTAAATATCTTTGGATGTTTATATATGTTTACAAATGGAAGTGGTTTACCTTGGAACTTCCAATTTTTACTAAAGTCTGTTTTTATTTATTTCAGTGTATTGTCCTCCTTAATTCAATTAATCCAAGACATTAATTGAATTTACTGAAAAACTTTAAATTAGCACTTAATTAGCAGCTAAACACAGAATTTCTGATAGAATGACTCAGTTTTCATTTGAAAGTTAAGTCATTTCCTGTGTTTTGAAGCCACAGTTTTACATAAGTGGATTTCTAGGAGGAATCAACTTTGTATATCAGTCTGTTGGTTGTCATAATGTTATTTTTCTCATTGAAGTCATATTTAGTAGTTTTGCATAACTACATTTCTTCTGGTAGATCATCTGTTACGTACTGCAAGTCAGCATTCTGATAGCAGTGGTTTTGCTGAAGATTCAACAGACTGTTTTTCCCTTAATCATCTTCAGGTAAATTTTCTGTTACTAAATTCCTATGATTTCCATGTTTCACTTAGTATTTAGGTGATTTTTCATTAACTCTGTGTTTCAAAACTAAATGTGTATAATTTTAATTTTTCCAAGTGACAATAACAAGGACACTTTGGGATGTAGATGTTTACTAAGCATTTGACTACAAATTTTAGGTTTCACTAATTCTTCCTTTCTCTCTGAATGTTTAAAAACAACAAACAGAAGCTTCTTAATTTTTGTACCATCAGTAGACAAGTTAGTTTAATTATTAATCTATTCTGCATATTATTTTCTTATTTTTAACCCTCAATATGTTTAAGTTATTTTGTGTGTGTGTTTAAGTACTTTATAGTTTTTTTCTGTACTAATTAACATAGAGTGTTGACCCATAGCTTGCTGAATGTTAACTTTTATACTAAAATTTATTAGATACCCCAAAAGATAGACACAACTTTACCCTTAAGGTGTCATTGTCACTGTGTGTAATACACAGGGTATATATGAAAAGTGTTCAAAATACCTCTAAGCATATTTTAAAGAAAAGTGAAATAAGAGAACTGCCCTCTCAAAGTCTTTAGAAACATAGTATTTAAGGAATAGATAGACAAGAAAGTGTTTAAAGAGACTCAGAAAGAATACTACAGGCAGAAAAAGTACAAAATGGAAGAGAGATTTTCAGAAGGAAAGCTAATGTAGGGTCCCCAAAATGAAGTGTGAGTTAGTTACTTGGAAGTTAAGTCATTGAATGAATAGTTTTGATACACAGTGAAACAAAAAGCATAACAAAAATATATGATTGATAAGGAAAGGAAGACATGAATGTTGGTTGTTTTCAAATATAGAATTGGGGGATGGCTTAGAAGGAAGTTACCTGAGTAAGGGAAGAGTTTGATGCAGAAAAATCTGGAATCAAACAGCAGTTATCTTAGTACTGAAAGGATATGATTAAAAACACAGGTTGAAGGAATTAGCTTTGTGAAAAAGGAGTTTTCTTTTCAATATGTGGGGGAGGGAATAGTGGAGAGATATTATGTGGTATATTGTATTTGTTAGGAAAGAAAGGAATTTTGACCATTTTTCTCAGTTCACATTATATGTTGGAAGAAAAGGAGATGGGTGTTAAAAAGATCTAAAGAAAATAGTGGAAGTCTGGAATAATCTTTGTGATAAAGTGGAGGGGTTGCTGATCAGCGTGAGTAAAAGGTTTTAAGTAATAACAGGCCAAGGGATGGAAACTGTAAAAATACAGAAATAACAGTTTGGCACATTAGGATTCTTATTTGCATTCTCCATCTGTCCGTAACTTCATTTCATAGGTTCATGAGCCCCTGCAGACCATGGGGAGTAGTGCTGATAGCTGTGACAGTGAGACAACCGTCACATCATTTGGTGAAGACCTTATCACACCGACAGCACAAGACCAGCCTTATTTCAATGAGTCAGAAGAGGAGTCTCCTACCCCTCTTCAGAAAGGAGGAGAGAAAGCAGCAGCAGTTGGTCATCAACAGAGACAGTCATCTAACCAGGATTTCCCCCTTGAGACTGTTGAGAATACAGGAACTAAACAGTCCACCACTAGTATTGGGGATCATGTTACTGAAATTACTGAGGCAAAGGAAGATTTGTCCCCAGCACAGCCAGTAGAAATGCTGAGGGAAGCAAGTGCTGAAAGTGATGTGGATATCAGCAGTGAATGTGAATTTGCACAGTATACCACACACCATATTCTTAAATCATTGGCTTCTATTGAATGCAGTGAGATAGGCTCTGAAAGTACAACTGGGCCTCCCTCTTCTGTGGACAGAGTTAATACAGCTTTGCAAAGAGCCCAAATGAAGGTTTGCAGTCTGTCTAATCAAAGAGTAGGGCGTAGCCTGATAAAATCAAAAGATCTGCTAAAGCAGAGGTACCTACTTGCAAAAGCTGGCTATCCTCTAAGGCGGTCTCAGTCTTTACCAACCACCTTATTGAGCCCAGTAAGGGTTGTGTCCTCTGTCAATGTTCGCTTATCCCCAGGAAAGGAGACCAGATGCAGTCCTCCTTCCTTCACTTATAAGTACACGCCCGAAGAGGAACAGGAATTAGAAAAAGAGGTGACTGAGCATGATGGTCAATCTTTAGTTAAATCTACTATTTTCATCTCCCCATCATCTGTGAAGAAAGAAGAAACCTCTCAGAATGAGGTGAACCAGTGGGAAGAATGCCATCATCGAAGGACTCCGACCTGTTCGCTGTATGCTCGGGCACCTATATCACAGTCCACCTGCTCCCTTCACTCTGTCCACTCTGAGTGGCAGGAAAGGCCCCTGTGTGAACACATGAGGACTCTGAGCACTCACAGTGTTCCCAATATATCTGGTGCCACCTGCAGTGCCTTCTCCTCCCCTTTTGGGTGTCCTTACTCACATAGACATGCTGCCTACCCATACCGAGTGTGCTCTGTGAACCCTCCTTCTGCCATTGAAATGCAGTTGCGAAGAGTATTGCATGATATTAGAAACTCACTGCAGAATCTTTCACAGGTATGAGATTGTTGTGTTGTTTTCATTATCTCATAATTCCCTGAGAGATAAGACCTGACAGGCATGAACCACTGCAGCTTTTTTTTTTTTTAATGTACCCAAACTCTTCTGTACTTGCCCTCTTCCTGTACTCTTGCCTCAGACCTCAAAGGAAAGCTGTAACTCATCCTAACAAGGTCTGTTTCTCGTGTAGGTATCACTAGATAACTTTCTTCAGTCGCTCTTCCGTTATCTTAGCCAAGCCATCTCATTATTAAAACTTCTTCCCTCAGGGCTCTTTCTGGCTTTTCTCTTCTAAGTTTTCCTCCCCTTGGCTTCTGTGGCACCATATCCTCCTGGTTCCGCTCGTAGCTCTCTGCCTAAGCTTTCCCCTTCACCTGCTGACTCCTGATGCTGGCCACCTGGCACAAACTTAGTCTACTTCTACTGGGTTCAAAGACTGGAACTACCCCAGAATGGAAAAATTCAGGTAAAGTGTAAATTAGAATAAAAATGGTCTCTATGTCTTGTTACTTTGAAAGTCATCGCTCTCAGATTTGCTGGTGGATTGGAAATAATTTCCAAAAACTAATGGAAACAAGAAAATTGTTTTTAGATTTCCCTTTCACATTTTCTTTCTGAATCTCTCTCTTAACTATTTATATTTGAGCAGTTGAAGAAATGAAGAAACTGATAATGTAATGATCATTACTGGTGCTTCAGTGTAGGAATGCCTAGAACATATAGGATAGATCTCTGTCATGAACTAGCAGGCAGAAAGCTACCTTGAAAGTAAAAATCAAAGTTGTAATTTTTACAAATTAATTCAGTAAACTATACCTTCTCTCATATATAGATTTTATCCTCATGCCAGTCATCTTCTAATCACTTGCAGCTAATAAGAATATGAATTTCTTCTACCTCACAAAATGTAGTTCTGTTAATATTTCACTCATGGAGACCTTGTAGTTCTCTCCATGCAAAAAGCTGTGACTTCCCATGACTGTACACCTCTGTTTTCTTGGTGTACCTTTCATGGTAGTTTAGCCTGTTCTGCTCTAGAAAAGTAGGTGCCAGTACTGTTGGGTTCATTTATTTACTTGACCTGAATTTTCCTGTTTTCATCATAGCGCCCACCCGACTCCACTTCATTATAATAATTTTTTAACTTCTCTTTTGTTTGATTTTATTGTTAGAACACTTGAAATTTAGGAATACCTTTCATCTTCTTTTTATGTTGTTTTTTCCTCTCTGCTAAAAGTAATGACATAGTAGATGGCTAAGAATAAGAGTGTGTTTACTTGCTCCTCTAAGCCAAGTCAGTAGTTTCTATAGTCTTAAATGACACTTACTATGGCGTCTCCATTTTTGAGTTTTATTTTTCTGCTTTCTCAAGGCAAGAGGATAGTCCTTTCAGACATAGATTTAAACTTTTGCTTTGCCTTTTCCTCATCCTAAATAGACTCATTTTTACCTCAACAGATAGGAGTAATAAGTAGCATGGGGATGGATTGTTTTGGCTCCTGCTTATAAATTGAAATGGCATATTTTTCTCTTAAAGATAAAATATGTAGGCCCTAAAGCACAACTTTTTAACATTTTAGATAATTTTGGAAATAGTCACTTTGAAATTAACATTGATTTCTAATTCTATTTCCTCCACTCTTTTGAAGTACCCTATAATGAGAGGACCTGACCTTGCTGCTGCTCCATATAGCACTCAGAAATCATCTGTTCTACCTCTTTATGAAGTAAGTTCTTAACCTAAATCTTGATGTTTCAAATTATGTCTTTGATTTTGAAGTATAATTCTGTTATTTTGTGTTTTAGAATACTTTTCAGGAGCTCCAAGTGATGAGGCGGAGCTTAAATTTATTTAGAACACAAATGATGGATCTAGAATTGGCAATGCTACGCCAGCAAACCATGGTTTATCATCATATGACTGAGGAAGAAAGGTAAAAGTTCACTTTGTCTTAATGCAACTTGAAATATTTTTAATTCTAAAAGAATTTTCAGCTTGCTCTTTAAGGTAGTTTTTATTTCTATTGACATGTACCCTGTATTTTGTGAACTAAATTAGGCAGTAATTAGGTAGTACCGAGTAACCGTCTTTCTTCATTGCATTAAGGAGAAACACTTGTATTTAGCTATTAGTGTTTGAGATACTTGTGTAAGAAGTAGAGGAAGAAAGACCAGTTGTTGTCATAGTGTTTACACCTGCAATAGATGCTGTTGTACTAATTCATAGAATTTAGGTATTCATTATCTTCTGGTCACTTTAATGTCAAGGGAATTATGAATAAAAACCCTCCAACTGCTTTTCTGTACCTGTGCCTGTCACCATACTCAGGTGTGAAGTTGATCAGCTCCAGAGTTTGAGAAATTCAGTTCGAATGGAACTCCAGGAACTGGAACTGCAGCTGGAGGAGCGTCTACTGTGCCTGGAGGAGCAGCTGCGTGGGCGCACGCCTTCTCCCTACCACGCCTCAGCACTTGTGGTACGGTACCTTACGTTCATCAGTAGCTTTTACAAAGGACCTGTTGTGCTCTAATCTAGGACATAAGACTTAATTTAAGAACATTTATTTTAATGGCATTAGAGGTATGGAGAATGTTTAAGGAGCCGTTTCCACAAATTAGTTATGATTATTTACCTAACTAGATATATATTGGGAAAATTTAATAGTAATTTTTTTGTAGTTAGTAAGGATAATAGTAAAGTTGAAGGGTAAAGTTGAAGGATTTGCTTTTTTTTTTTTTAAGATTCATTTATTTATGCATACAGAACTGGGGTACAGACTGGAGGTGCAGGAGTGGTGAGAGGATTCACCAGAGGCAGAGCAGAGTACAGAACTGGCAAATCTATGAAGTTCATTGCTGAAGGGAGCAGGGGGTGGGTCAGAGGAGGCCTGCCATGCCAGGTGGGGATTGAACTCCCTGTGAAGTGGCTGCGGTGAGCTTCATGGTGCTGTGCTTTAACCAGTTGCACCACTAGGGAGGGCCGCTAAAGTTGAAAGATATTAAAGGAAAAATTACAGGTGGTTAGCATGACCGGTTTGGATTTTAATCACTTTGTCTACAAAGAAAAAAAATGTTTATTTTACTCTTTTTCTTTTCTTGCCTGTGAATAAATAACTTTTACTTGGGATTCTTACACGTTTACGTTTTGTAAGGAGTCAACTGAGATCATTATACAGGTAGAAAATATTTATTCAACCAAGAAAAAATAAAGCACTTTCTTTTGTACCACTTTTTATATTTCTAGTGTTCCCTTCCATAAAGTATAAACTTCAACAGTTATTCTTATCTTGGCAATTTCTTCATAGCTGTTGAATATGTTGTGTTATAATGTTGAAGTAATGCACTTTTTCTTAAACAACATGCTTGGTTTTGTTCAAAGTAAGTGGGTGAATACTCACATGTATGTACACATTGGAAATAGAATCAGTAGAATAAGAAAATGTATATATTCACATATATGCGTATAGCATAAAATAAATATTTTGTATTATTTATAGATATCTATTTTCATTAAAAGCTTTTGATCCATTCTGAGAAATGAGTGTGACAGCAGAGCATGAAAGTATTTTATGTTCACCTTTGTTCATGATAATTTATTTTACTGGATCCATAACAGTTGAGAGGAACCTCTGTAACATAAAGGGATGCTTAGAGCAATAATCAGCTGACTCATTTTATTATAAAACACAATTTGAAAAACTATATGTACACACATATATATTGTTCTTTTTCAGGGAATATATGGCAACAGAAGTGCTGATAACTTGTCATGCCCTTTTCCATTGAATGTAATGGAACCAGTAAGCCTCTCTCCTTTTAAATTAGTGGGGAAAGGAATGATAGAACATATTCCCCCTTATCTGTGAAGGAATGTCCTGAGACTTCCCCTTAGGAAACCCGCATTATACCAAGTTTTTTCATATATATGCATACCCATGACAAAGCTTAATCTCTAGATTAGGGAAGGCAAGAGATTAGCAACAGTAACTAATTATAAATAAGACCAACTGTAATAAGGGTTACATAAATGTAGAATCTCTCTCAAAAATACCTAATTTTACCTGTGTTTTCAGATCATAGTTGACCTATAGGTAAATGAAGCAACAGAAAGTGAAACCACAGATAAGGAGTGACTACTGAGACATTTATAAACACTTTCTAGTGGATATGAAATATTCTTAAATATAAAATTTGATAAATTAATTGGATGTGATTTTAGCACTTCTGAAAGTCCATTGACATTTTAGATCACCAGAAGCCAGATTGATTGCCATAATGATTTATTTTTAGGTCAACAGGAGATAATGCATCACAAAAGTATTTAACATATTGTCCAAGAGAAACACATTTTTCTTGTTGATTCCAGGTACTTCAGGTAGTTGAATCTAGTAGCTAGACTTCTTTTTTTGAACAAAATTTTGACTTTCATATATTTCAGACAAATTGTTATGTGGTCAGAAGCATTATAAATAACTATTTGTTTTTCACTAGTTATTCTTACAAGTAATTTGGTTATCTGTGTATAACAAGTAAAATTTTATCCAGCTACATATTCTAGCTACACATTTTATGGCATGATATCATTATGAATTTAAATTTTCTATTTAAGTAAATTTCCAATTGCTAAGTGAATGAACTAACTCATGTCTTTACATGTTAAATGACTTTGACAGTCGGATTTTAATCTTTTTAACTACCACTCTTAATTTTGTGAGAGAACAATTACAATTTTTCTGATCTCCAGGTTACTGAACTGATGCAGGAACAATCATATCTGAAGTCTGAATTGGGCCTGGGACTTGGAGAAATGGGGTTTGAAATTCCTCCAGGAGAAAGTTCAGAATCTGTTTTCTCCCAGGCAACATCAGAGTCCTCTTCTGTATGTTCTAGTCCCTCTCATGCTAATAGAAGAACTGGAGTACCTTCTAATGACTCAGCAGGCAAACCCAAAGCCCATCTGGTATCAAGGAAGAAAGTATTCCGAGCATCAGTGGCCCTCACACCAACTGCTCCTTCTAGAACAGGCTCTGTGCAGACACCTCCAGATGTGGAAAGTTCTGAGGAAGTGGGTGCAGAAGAAGTCTCAGAGACTGTAGGACCTAAATGTGAAGTGGAAGAAGAACATGAAAAAATCCCATTAATGCCAGCTGCTGAGGAAATGCATAAAAATATGGAGCAAGATGAACTGCAGCAAGTCATACGAGAGGTGAATAAGATCTATACTTAATTTATTTAGTAAAATGCATTGGAGAAGGTTTATTCAAAATTTTGCACTTTATTCAGTAGGTTTTAGAGAGTTTTTTTTTTTGTTTTTTTTTTTTTAATGCTTGCAGAACTGGGGGTACAGGCCAAAGGTGTGGTGGATGAGAGGATTCCCCAGAGACAGAGTGGGGAGCAGAACAGGGAGATTGACAATGTACACTGCTGAGGGGAGCAGCAGGTGGGTCAAGAGAGGTCTGCTACGCCATGTGGGTTAGCTCTGTGGCGGGGGGATCAACCTCTTGCTGCAGTGGCTTTGGAGAGCTTCATAATGTGGTGCTTTAACCTTTTGCACCACCAGGGAGAGCCCAGTTTTAGAGAGCTTTTAAATTAACTTTCCACTGATCCAGTAAATTATGTTTGTAATAGAATTTCTGCAACTTTTTGCACTTTACTGTGAATAACAGCATTTATCTAATTTCACTTTGGTGAAGAAAGTATTTTATTAAATTTTTAGATAGGTAAACATGACAACTCTTTAGATTTGTTTCCACATTGACAAAATAAGGGATTATAATTTTGATCCCTTCCAAGATTAAAAGCTGTCATTCATGTTCTATGGAACTAAAGAAATGGTGTTGTGACTTGCATAGTTACAAAGAATTTGATCTTTTTGGTATAGTAGATGTAGGATGTGGTAATTACATATGAGTTGTTCAAAGATATATAAGTATAGAATTTTATTGTGTATGAGATCAGTTATCAACCTGAGATATTTAACCATAGTTTAAGGCCACTAACAGGACTGCAAAAAATTAGGAAAGTAGTATCAAAGTTTAAGGGTAACTGAGAAAATTAGTAAGATAGCAATTTTTTGGTACTAGAACCAGAACTAGAAGGAATAGCATATATATTATTTAAAAGAAGAAATCTCTTTTCATACACGTTTATTATAATGGCTTTCTTTTTCATCTTCTCAAAAAGTGTCTTTGGTACAAAATCTAGTTGACTACAGAAGATGCAATTACATATATTGGATTCTTTTCCCCCATTCTATTCTCTTAAGAGTAGCTTTAAGGAAGAATCATAAATTTCCATTGTTCTTTCCTACTGAAACATTAAAACCCATGATGAGAAAATATTTCATTATTTTCGATTAGTTAAAAAGAGGATAACCTACAGTGAAAAAGTCACTTCATAAGTGTTTTAATGAGTATCTGTTATTTAAAAGAGAAGAGAAAAATATACATAAAACATGAAATCCATAAGCCTAAACTCATATAATAAAAGGGTAAGTCAGACTACCCAGCAGACAGCTGAAAAATCACACAGAAAAGCTTTGAGTATAATATATTCATGAACTAAGAATTTAGAAATGGAAGGGGTCTAAATAAGCCAGAGAAATTAGAATCAGCGACTCCCTAGTTTTTTTTTTTTTTTTTTTTAAAGATTTATTCACCTGTGCATACAGAACTGGGGTATAGGCCAGAGGCTCAGGGGCGGTAAGAGGCTTCACCAGAGACAGAGTGGGGAGCAAAACAGGCAGATCGACGAAGTACACTGCTGAGGGGAGCAGCGGGCGGGTCAGGAGAGGTCTGCCACACCATGTGGTCTCCTCCTCGGCAGGCGGGGATCGAACTCATGAACTCATGCGGAAGTGGCTTAAGCTTCTTAGTGCTTTAACCCGCTGCGCCACCAGGGAGGGCCGACTCCCTAGTTTTAATGTAGATATTTCCAAATTGTTTAGCAGTGTGAATCTAATTAATATACTTAGAATTAACATAGATCAAATTTCTAATGATTGTAGATGAGAATGTTGACAACAGACCTGAATTTTCCCTCAAATGGACCATTGATCCTCTGGTCTCAGGAATTAGTTTGTGTGCAGTAGGCGAAATCACTTATAGCTGTGTGATTTATATCACTTGAGAAGAATGTTAAAAATGCAGTTTTATAGGTTAACATATGCACTCCTAAAAAGTCCTAAAAATTATTTCAGTAAAACCAGAGCTTATCGGAAGAATAGGATAAGTGTAACACTTAAAATTGCCAGTGACATATTCAAAAGGAAATAGAACCCTAATAAAAGATAATACAAACAGTATAATTTTGTACATGTTGTTCACAAATATATAAAAAATCTAATTTGATACTCTATCTTGAAAAAAGACTTGAAGTTTGTTTACAGAATTGTGTTTTGAAGGGTTGCAAATTGTGAGTTATTATGAAGTGGTAGAGGTTGATCTGAAATCCAAAAACTTTTAATACCAAGTACAACAGGTGTGACTCATAATACATAGTGAAGTGAGACAGCTGAAGAAGCTTAAAATATGTGTGTTCCATGTACTGTATCCATAGGCACAACTGAATACAGTTCCTTGGTTAACTTAGTGTTCCCTGCACATAAGAAAACATGAAACTTACATTATACTCATTTTTCCTAATATTTTGCTTATGTTAAGAACCACACATTCATATTTTCAGAGCAAGTGTTACAGCAGAAGAGATTGCATATAGTTAACTTTTTTTCATGGCATGAATTACTAACTTAAAGTTTAAAAGGTTTTAATTCTATAAATTTGTTCTGCAAATGTAATTATTTTTGCTAAGTTGGCTATGGGTGGCTAATATCTGTAAACTATATATCTACTCTATTCTATTAGGTATGACTGTTATTATAATCCATTCTTACTTGTAAGTTTTATATCAGATAACATGTTTTGAAAGAAGGTGTTTTTCCCCAAGTATGTATTAACTGAGGAAGTAAGTTTTAAGATAACTCTCCCTTCTAAAAATGTGATTTGAAAAGACCCTTGATTCTTGGGTAAGGAACATGGAAGTCATTGTTCCTGTTTTTGATGCCTTGTATTAAATTGCTTAATGATTAATAAGAACTACTTCAAACATGGAAGATTTTATAATTTGAAGATAATTAAATTGTTGTATGAGGCAAATGTTTGAAAATTTTTTCAGGGGCTTCCCTGGTGGCCTGCGGTTCAAGTTTCAGTGCTGTCACCTCAGTGGCTTGAGTTCTATCCCTGGCCAGGGAGCTGACCCACATGTCCCAGCAGACCTCTCCTGTCTCTCCTGCTGCTCCCCTCAGCAGTGTATTTCAGTAAATCCACCTGCTCTGTTCCCAAAGCTGTCTTTGATGAATCCTCTCACCCCCCCAAATCTCTGGCCTATACCCCAGTTCTATGCAATAATAAACAAAATCTTTAAGAGGAAAAGAAAATTATTTCAGAATTTAGGCAAACTATATAGTTTGTAAGAGAAATATTGATGCACTCAAGAAAATAAGTGATTTTGAAGCACTTTAAAAGCATTAATGGTAAGCTCAGTTCTGGAAACAACCCAAGTGTCCAAGGACATATTAGTGAATTATGATATCATACAGGGCCTTCCCTGGTGGCACAACTGACTGAAGCTGCTTGGGTGCGAGTTCCATCCCCACCAGGAGGTGACCCACATGGCGCGACAGACCTCTCCTGTCTTGCCTGCTGCTCCCCTCAGGAGTATACTTTGTCCATCTGTCTGTTCTGCTCCCCACTCTGTCTCTGGTGAAACCTATTGCTGCCCCTACACTTTTGGCCTTACCCCAGTTAAACTTTTAAAAAAATGAACTCTTAACTATGGTCACAACATGGAAGTAGAAGGGATTACACTAAGTGAAATAGGTAAGAATGGTATGGTTCTTATGGTTCCATTTGCATGTAGACTACAGAAAGACAAAGCAAAAGATTGGTCACAGCCAAACCAGTAACAAATTCTAGAAATCTTTTAGGAAAATTAAGGCTACTCAGGGGCGTGGGAGAGGGTGGAGAGCAATGGTGATGGGGTACCAGTGGATAATGGTAGAGAACTATGGGTATCTTAGTGGCAGGAATGGCTGGTGGCATGCATCTGAGGAGTAATCTTACTGCTGTGAAGCAGTATTACCTAAATAAAATTATTTTTAAAAGCATATATTTGCAAATAAATCAGTGCAAGATAAATTAGTCCAGCACCAGCATAATAAAAAAATAATTTGTTAATCTTAGTTCAGTTACAGTGGTATTATGTTAAACTTTGTTCAGAAAATATTTAAAATTCAGATTAATTTTAATTCCATTCAGCTCAGATCCCTATTTTTTTTTGTCCTTAAAGATAGGTGGTACTTGTTTCCAATCTTTTTAAGCCTGTTATATTAGTAATCAAGAAAAGATTCTGTGTTTTCAGTAAGTTCTGGGCTCCTGACCGACCCTATTAACAAAGCCACTATTCAGGAAGTTAAGATGTAATCTTGGACTGAACAGTTTTGCAGGTGAGGATTAATTTTTAGGAAAGTTATTTTATTGCACTTAGGGTGCATAAAAACAATGATGTTTGTCAGGCTTTTGTTTCTATCATTTCATCATATGTGAAGCTTTAAAAGGAATGATTTTTTTATAATGTGTTTATACAATAGATTGATCTTTAGTAGGAGAACATTAAAAGAAAGTTTATTCGGCCCTCCCTGGTGGCACAGCGGGTTAAAGCACAGCACTGAGAATCTAAAGCCGCTTCCACATGAGTTCGATTCCCGCCTGCCCCAGAGGTGACCACATGGCGTGGCAGACCTCTCCTGACCCGCCCGCTGCTCCCCTCAGCAGTGTACTTTGTCGATCTGCCTGTTCTGCTCCCCACTCTGTCCCTGGTGAATCCTCTCACCCTCCGCATCTCTGGCCTGTACCCCAGTTCTGTATGAATAAATAATAAATCTTAAAAAAAATAAATAAATAAAAAATAAAAAAAAGAAAGTTTATTCAGACAACTGTTTAATAAACTATTTAATAAACTTAATTCAGTAATGACGCTGCCTTCAGATTAAAGATACCCCTTTTCATTTGTGATGTGGGAAAAATACTCTACTAGAATTTACCCAGGTAGTCTGTGCTGTATATAATCAGTGCCCGGAAGCTGTTTATAGTTACTTAAATAAGTCCATAAAAAGATTTACTTAATGGACTAAAGTAACATTTGCCCATAGAGGCAACTTCAACAAAATTAAACATCAGAAAGTAACATTTTTTTTTTCTAAAGGGGGACTTTTTTTAATTAATGAGAGTACTATTGTTTCACTTCTTTGTTAATGTTTTGACAGTGTAGGATTCCTCCCCTCAAGTGTGGCCATTGCAGCTTTCCTAGCACCAAAGCACCCACAAAGGACTAAAGTCCTTTGTGCTTCCATCCTCTTCCCATTTTCACTTTTCCTCCTCTCTCTCTTGCTTTCTCCCTCCCACCTCTCCCCTCCCCTCTTGAAAGCCTTGGATCTGTGGTCAATTTTCAAGGGTTGGTTTTAAAGTTTGTCTTTGTTTGATCCTTTGATTGGTTCAGACAGTGTTTTTTTTGTTTGTTTTGGTTTGGTTTTTTTGTGGTTTTTTTTGTTTGTTTGTTTGCCTATGATAATAATTTTGCTTTGTTTATTTTGCTTGGGGCTTTAGTGTCAGAACTTCTGGAATTGCTTCTTGGTGCCAGTGACATTGAGCACATTGAAGTGAGGTCTTCTGGCTCAGGTGCTGGCACTTACATGCCTTGACAGTGTCACCTATCTGGATGTCCCTGAAGCAAGGGGATGGGTTCATTGACATGTTCTCATGTCACTTTACATTGCTGTTGTCCTGTCGGATGTAGTGGGAGCCATCCTAGCAGATGACAGTAAACATCTGCATCATTGTCTTTAGAGAGTTTTCCTTTTTTTCCAAGTTCTCAACTTGATTCATGACTTGGTGTTTGTTACGGTTCACCTGACATGCTTCAAGTGAAACCTTTTCTGGGTTTTAACAACTTTCAGTGATCACAGTATAAGTGGCTGCTAACAGAGCAGTCACAGTAGGTGCATATTAAATGCCTGTCTTACTGCACACTTCAGACTGTAATTTATGTTGCCAGTGAGCTTTCCTTTCTTAACCTCAAGTAGTCTGTCCTCTCTTTGGAAATTGTACAGAACTTTTTGAAACTTGTGCTCTTAAGAACAACTTTATGATCCATCGCATTAGTGTATTCAACTCTTAATTCTTTTGCCTTCTCTGTAGTATGAGAAAATTTAGTACTAACTTATTCCTTAAATATATTATTAAAAGCATCTTCCCATCTTCAGTGCCCCTTTGTGGTTCTTTATTTTTCTACTTGTAGTTTCTTTTTGTGTCTGATACTGCCTCTTGCTCAGTTATTGATTCATTCATTTATTAAACACTTACCTTGTGATACATGATAAATGAGACCTAATCCTTACCCTGAAGTAGCTCACAGTAAATAAAATTTCCTATTATACTTATTTTTCACCCTTTAGGAACTATTCTATCAACTAGACCTTTTAACCTCCCTGCAACACCACTACCCCCGTTGGCCACCCCCTCCCCCGCCTTCATCCTAGGTGCCGTTGACTACTAACCTTACAATTAGCTGAAGTTTTCTGCTTCTGTGCCTACTAATTTATAGTTACTATTTTTCTGAGAACTTTAAATTTAAATTTTTCTTCCTCTTTAGCCCATACTAATCTCTTATTTTTCAAACTTTATTTTGTTCTTGTATCTCTGATTAATAAATTGTTTTTGCCTCTTAATATTTTATGAAAAAAATATTTTTTGACCCACATTGGCACATATTTTTGGTTGTAAAGATACTTTTGCCTTGTTTGTTTTTAGAATGATGAGATTTAATAAAATTACCCTACCATTAAGCAGTGGGGCTGGAAAGACTATACCACTCATTTTCTGTTGTAAATATAGATCTGTAATAGTTCTGCCTTCCATGTATTTGCAGTTGTGTAATGTGGGAATTTTGGTTTTCATAGCATGTATATCCAGCACATAATTAAAAAATGAATCTGAGCTACTATGAACTTTAAAAAACTTTTGATGATGTTTACAGTTCTGAAATACTGGTAGAAAGTAAAATGAGAAGCTAATGCTTATTTAAATCTGTTCAGTACAGATGATTGGTAGCAAAGGAGCATCTGTTTCTATAAATACTTATGTATAGCTTTATATATTGTGTACCAGTTTTGCATGATTAATACAGAGCTGTTTTTGGAAGCCTTCAATTGTGATGTGTTCAGGATGTACTTACGAATATTTTAGGAAATGGATCAGGCTGACAGGAAACTGTAGAAATGTAGAATTTTAAAAAAGCTGGTTGAGAGTGTCTCCAGTGCTAATTTGGGAAGGCATTATCAGCTTATTCCAGGAAATACACATTTAAAGCCTTCACAAAGGGCTATTTGAAGGTGATACTGTATCATTAGAGAGAGAAAAGTGTGAGTCGGCATGTATAATGTTAGGACACTTGGAGAAGAAAATCTTGTTTATCTTAGTCTATAATCTGTTTCTTTTCCAACAACAAAATGAAATACTACTTTTACCTGAATCAGAAGTTGCAATCAGTGGATGATAAATGCACTGTACAACTAAAGAAAACTTATTTTTTCTAGAGCTTACAAGATGTTTAAAAATAATTTGTCTTAAGTGATTATTTTTGTCTTCCCACTTGAAATGTGCATGTCAGATTAGAACAATAAATAATTTCTTTATATACTTTGTTTTCAGTTAGCATAAACAGGTCATACTTGTATATTACTTTGCTCCTCATGGGTTTTCATAACAATGAGAACAATGAGTATCCTGCTGATTAATATACTAAGGTGAACATTAATTAAAAGCATCATAGTGAACCTACCAGTCAATTTTTTCCAGGTTATTTTGTGTTATGAAGCATATTATTTAATGGAAGAGTTTTAATCTGTAACAAAATGTATGATTCCACTCCTATATGGTATATAGAGAAAGAAATCTTATAAATTGTATGACCAAAGAGTGGCTATCAGGGCCCTCCCTGGTGGTGCAGTGGGCTAAAGCACAACACTAAGAAGCTTAAGCCACTTCCGCATGAGTTCGATCCCCGCCTGTCCTTGAGGAGATCCACATGGCGTAGCAGACCTCTCCTGGCCCGCCCGCTGCTCCCCTCAGCAGTGTACTTCATCAATCTGCCTGTTCTGCTCCCAACTCTGTCTCTGGTGAATCCTCTCACCCTCCGCCTCTGGCTTGTTCCCCAGTTCTGTATGGATAAATAAAAAAAAAAAATCTTAACCAAAAAAAAAAAAAAAAAGAGTGGCTATCAGAAGTGATGAATGGGAGTGGGCAAATCAGGTAAAAGGGACAATTTGATGGAGGATAGAGCTAGACTTCTAGTGGTAAACTTAATTTAGAATATACGCGCCTTGCCTTTATTTAAAAAAAATTATTTATGCATACAAGAAATGGGGTACAGGCCAGAAGTGAGAAAATTCACCAGAGACAGAGTGGGGAGCAGAATAGGTGGATCAGCTGAACACTGCTGAGGGGAGCAGCAGGTGGGTCAGGAGAAGTCTGTCATACCATGTAAGTCAGCTCCCAGGCCGGGGGTTGAACTCGTGTTGCAGTGGCTGTGGACAGATGCATAATGCTGGGCTTCAACCTGTTGTACCACCAGGGAGGGCCCATGTTGATTTTAAAATTACACACAGCTGAAAGTTACATACTTTAGCAAAAATACATAAAATAAAAATGTTTTATTTTCTTAACTTAGAGTTACAATAGTTTATAATACATTTATTCTTCTGAAAATAGTCATATTAATGTTTTTTTGGTTTTGGTTTGTTTTCTTCTAGATTAAAGAGTCTATTGTTGGGGAAATCAGACGAGAAATTGTAAGTGGACTTTTGGCAGCAGTATCTTCAAGTAAAGTATCTAATTCTAAACAAGATGATCATTAAATGGAATTCATAGGTAAATTTTTCTAAATTTTTAAATTTTATCTAAAGCTAAATTAATATTTAATTTAATATTAATATTTGTTTTTAATATTTGTTTTTCTTAAAACACAAGTTAGATTTTTTTATACAAAACCACAAAGAATTCTCTGCATTATCATTTTACTGAAATTTTCTTATAATAAATAATGGTGAAATTGAGGAAATTGGGAACTTCAAACCTGAGTCTTATTTTAAAGCTTTAGTTATAATTACCATTCAGGTACACAATTTATGGACCAAGATTCTAAAACTCAGTCACAAAATTCTTGTAATGTTTTGTCTTTCAATGAAACAAATAACTATATCTAGTTATACTATATAAAGAACTGTTTTATTTGCTAACATGAATTAATTTAATTTTACATTTACTCAAATTACATTTTATAAACTATGTATCAATACTAATACTTGGTGAATGCAAAAGTAGAATAATAGTTTCAGTAGAACAATAGCTTTATTAGAACTACCACTATCCATTCAATACAATGAGAAGTAAATTTAGTTGAAAAGTTTATAAATTTCATCTTTTCAAAAGGGAAAAGTATTTTGATTATATATATTATAAATCAACTCATAGTTATTTTTTCAAGCCAAGGATAAAAAAAACTTAACTCTCGGAAGCTGTATAGTGATCCTAATAGGATCATTGGTTTTATATATATAGAGAGAGAGAAAATATTCTCAACCTCCCCTTAAAGAAAATTTTTAATAATAATATTTAAAAGATAATAGTAATATTTGAAAATGGTTGAACAGTAATATTTTAAAAATGTGTAATGTTCATCTCTTCCTTTTTTTAAGATTGGGATGGATCCTACAAGCCATAGGATATGAAGTTATCAATGATATACACTGGTGGAGGTATTTGTGCTTCTGAAGATACTTGCTGCTGAGCTGGGCTACTGTATACAGTGTATAATGTTTATTTCTTCTACATATACCTATTTTTAAAGAAGATACATAGAAGCTTAGGCACTTTGCTGACTTTTCTAAACTATCAAAACAATAGCCATTTGAAAAGCCTAATATTTATTTGTATGTCAATATTTTCAATCAATTCCCTAAGTAGAATTAATTTTAAAACTTGAAAACTTCCAGACTTAACCAACTTATAAATAACATATTCTTCAGATAGCTTCTTAAAACACTGACCTCTATGAGGTATTTACTGTGCAATAACAGATTCATTTTTTGAGAGCTTGAAACAACCAATGATTTTCCCTTCTCTGCTGTTAATTAGTGTCACTTCCAAGAGGAAAAATTGTTCTGTTGTAAAAATTGCTTTTAATTCTTAAGGAGGTTACTAATAACAGTAGGATAGAATTGTATGAGGTTACCTACAACTACTTAATGTTCTTACACTGTTACTTTACCCAAGACAAATGTAATTTTATTATAGCTAATACAGTAGTTTTCTTTTGGAAATGTGGCTTATGTTAAACACTATGTACTTTTTGCATTGTTCAAACATCTCTATAATAAGGAGATGTTTCTTCTGTCTTTTAGGCTAAATAGTAGAGTGTTGCCAAAATAATGGAGCCTGTGACTTGAATGGATAGAAATGAATAAGCTGGTTTTGTTTTTTCAAAAAGGAAGTAATTAGATTTGTTTTCCTCATAATAAGGTGGTTTTAATTCAGTTTTAACCAGTGAAAACTTTATGGGGAAAAAAGAAAAATAGTTTTCTATTTGATATTGTATGTGATAAATGCAGAAAGTAACAACCAAATTTTATTGGAATTACTCTTTTAGCATTATAAATTTAAATTCCTATTATATTTCTTTGTGTGAAATTTTAATCAAAGTGGTTGAAATGATAATATTCTTTGAAAGAATATTGAAAAGGTTTTTAAATGTTTGAACTATCACACAAAGACTGATTTCTAAAAGAAAAATTAAAAACAATAAAGTATTTATTTTGCCTAATGTGTATTTAGTGCTTTGTTTTTTTTTAAACTATAACCTGAAGAATTTGAACTAGTTTTGATGAGTTTAAGTAACGTCCCCATAAGTGAAGTATATAACCTAATAGGTTGAAACCTCTTTTCCTGAAGAAACTTCTATGATGCTTTCAAAATTTAGTAGAGACAAGAAGATACTTTAATTAAAGCATGTGCTGATGCCTTCTGGTCACAACTAATTCTGCAGTTCTAATGATTAGCACATGAGCTCAACTAAATCTTTTTTTTAAAACAAACTAGTAAGCTTAAAGAACGGATTTTAAAATATTACCTAATTCTTTGGTCAAATTATTCAGCAACTTTACTAGTTGATTCTGGTAACAGTAATGATACATATAAAACAGATACTCCATATTTATGTGTAAACTTAGAAGTACAAAGGAAAAATAAGTAGAAAAATGAAAAGAATTTGAGAGACAGTAGCCGGGGTGCTCAGCCTTTACCAGGAGTAAAGTCTTAAAGAATAGGAAAATGAAGGGCCCTCCCTGGTGAGGCAACAAGTTGGAGCGCACCGCTATGTAGCTATTGCAGCCACTCCACCACAAGTTTGAGCCCTGGCCAGGGAGGTGACTCACATGACGCTCCTGTCTCACCCACTGCTCCCCTCAACAATGTATTTCAGTGCATAAGCCTATTCTGTTCCCCACTCTGACTCTGGTGAGTCCTTTTACTCTGGCACCTCTGGCCTGTACCGCAGCTCTGTATGCATAAATAAATAAATCTTTAAAAAAAAAAAAAGAAAAGAGGGTAGGGTTCAAGTAGTGAAGAATACTTGAAGAATACTGCAAAGGTTATCCACAATGGATAGGGCAGAATGAATAATTGAGTTTGAGTGTGCATAATGAAAGAAATACTTTTAAGAACCTGAGTTGTCTCTGAGTGTGCTAAGAACCTGACTGAAGAAGGCATAGAAGGAAAAAACCTCTTGGAATGATGTTTTGAAAGTTCAGAATGTCTTTGAATGGTAACCACTTACAAATGGACAGCTCCCAATATTGAAATTCAAATGTTCCTCGAAGAATATTTAGCTGAATTTCAGTAACATTTTCATTGTGTGAGTTAAAGCTACTGACTCATGAGATCTTTTTAAGACTTTATATTTAGAGCAGTTTTAGATTTGCAATACACTTCACCTTTTTTTACTGGAAAGCAAGGATACAGTAGAACACATGTAAAATTGTAGAGTCTGCCTGGGAGATAGCTGAAGAGAGAGCATTCTACCCATGTTCCTTGCCTCTCCAAATGAGTGTCATGCTAATGCAGTAAAGCAAAACTGAAAAATCACAAGTTCTCCTTCTAATTCTTTTACCTTGTAGAAAGGAAGAATTGACCGCAGTTCTGGGAAGTGGGGAGAGGAACCATTATATCTTAAGCTGAGGATATAAGTTTTGTAGTTTGTTGTGTACAACTGGTTGCTAGAATCACTTACGAATATTGAAAATACTTAATTAGCACCTGTCCTGACTGCATTCTAAGTATGTACAGGCATATTTAATTAATAGTTCCTCTCCTATACACTTTTTCATTTATTACTGCTAACTTGGGCCCTTGGTGTCTTGTATTCTTTACTCTCATCTTCACAGTTGATGCTGAATACTAATTGATTAAATTACAACTTGTGTACAAAGTGGCACTATGATCATTTGTGAATAAGATGTGCAAACATATCAGACCAATTACAGGATCCATTTCTTTATAAGGATCTTCTTGAAGAAACTAAATTTTTTGTGAATAAATAATTAAATAACTCTGTTTACTTAAAATTGTTTGCTGGGTAGCCACCCATTACAAGGCTTGAGCTTTTAGGAAATTGTTGACTGCATAGAGTGAATAAGAATATGTTCTAAAGAAAGTAAAATAAATTGTGTATAGCTTTGAGGGAAAGAATCAATACATTTAGGAATTGGAGTTTTTGTTGTTCATTTTTTTTTTTAATTCCACAGAGGGCTTTAAGTGGATAGAAAAGCATGTCTGGGATGAACATGAGAGGTCTCTTGAAGAGCAGACTTAAAGGTCTTAAATGTAAGACAGAAAGGAATGATACTTTATTTTAGAAATAACATTTAGAGTAATAAAATATTTCAAGTTAATTTGTTTTCCTCATGATAGAAAGACTTTAATTAGTTTTAACCAGTGAAAACTTTTTATGAAAAGGATAGAACTTTGAGAAGTTACTTTCAAATACTTTGTAAGTGTGAACCACACACTTTAGGAAAGCATGCATTTTGTAAATATTTGTGTTTGGGGTTTTAGAAAACCTATATTTTATCATTTGTATGCCCCTATTGAGACTTATAAAAATGTCCCTTGAATCACCTTGATTTTATAAATACACTTTTATGGAATTAGCAAAATAATAATGACTATGTGTGTCTTAATTTGGACATTCAAATGATACTTGTAGCATGAACAACATAATTTTTAAAAAGAAATAAATGTTTTATGCTAAATTATTTTCTGTTCTTCTAACATGCAAAAATTATTTTTCTAAAAGGGCAGTTTGCCAATGTAACATGTCTTACAAAGTAAACTTTTTAATATTTTTGTATCTTTAGTTTGCAATGTCATGTAGACTTCCTGAAATGTAGAAATGTAAATGCTATTCCTTCTCCACAAATACACATTTTAAGAGAATATCTATTTTTCCAGTTTCATCAAACTAATAACTAGTTATAAGATGCCATTAAAGTGAATAAACACAATTCTATATTTCTACAGACCTGTGTGCCCTGAAAGCTAGGTGCTAGATCACTAACAAGATTCAAATAAAAATAGTCTTAAACAAGAAGGCTAGTGTTAATATAAAATTCAACCAAACCATTCACTGCTCATGGAGGAATATGTATCCAAAAACACAGAATCTACTGGTTAAGGCTCAAGCTGAGTTCAAAGCTCTGCCAGATAGAACTGGAGCAATGGTCCTTCATGGACTTGTTAGTATTGAAGTACATGCACTTCTTAGTATAGTACATGACTCCGCTCAGTAAAATGGTAATGAGTTGAAATTTGGTAACAAGTAGATGGACTTTGATTTAATAAGCATTATATGAAAGACAGAACATGAATTTACAGACTTAGGTGTGAGTTTTTTATCTTTATTGTGTTCTTTTAAGCAATAGAACCAGGGACTGGCAAAGAATTCCTGTTCTCTCATACTATGTGAAGACTGAACTATATGAAGTGCAATGCTTCCGAAACTTTAATATTCATAGAAATCAAATCCCTTGCTATGTTGTAGAGATAAGATTCTGATTGAGAACTGGGTCCTGTTTTGGAAGATCCAAGTTTTTGTGTTTCTAGAAGTCCTCTGGTGAGGTTGCTGTTGCTTGTCCATGAGCTGCACTTTAAGTAGAAATGGTATTTTGTTTGAAGATTTTATGTATGCATACAAGAACTGTGGTACAAGCCAGAGGTGCAGGCAGTGAGAGGATTCACCAGAGACAGAGTGGGGAACAGAACAGGTGGATTGACTGAAATACACTGCTGAGGGAAGCAGTGGGTAAGACAGGAGAAGTATGCTGCTCCATGTGGGTGACCTCCCCGGTTGGGATTAAACTTGTGTCGCAGTGGCTGTGGATAGCTTCATAGTGCATCACTTTAACCCCTTGCACCACCAGTGGGGCCCAGCAGCAATGATTTTTACTAATAGTTCTTGCTGCCTGCTTTCCAAGGGAGAACTTCATTAAGCAAGAAATGAGTGCTTTTATCTCCAAGGAGCAGTTATCTTTGAAGGCCCTCTTCAGGAAGTCTTCATTGCAACCAAAAGAACAAACAGAACAAAAAGAACAAAAGAACAAACAGAACAAATATAAGCACATAGGATGACTCAAGGGGAACCACCTCAGTAAAATCAAGAAAAGCCAAATGTTCAAAATAGGCCTGTGTGGCCATATTAAAAAAGCATGTTAATGGTTAGCAAGAAAAAAATCTTCACATTGTGTTGATTTGACATTGAGAAAATACACAGTCTGAATGCCTGTAGAGTCAACTAGTGGAGAACCAGAATGAGAACCAAAAAGGAAAAAGTGAGCTCTAGAAATGCAAACAATCAGCTCTTGGGTGTGGAATTTGTTCCAGTCTTTGGAGTTTGGAATTGTTTGTTCATTTGGGAGCTGAATTAGTGACTAAAAACAATTGCAACTTGGTCATACACATAATAAATTATTTGTGTGCTTGAGTTAATTGTTTAGTAAATCCTCCCACATGATACATGGTTTTATTTCCAATACACTGCAAATAATCCCTTTTGTTCATTCTCTAGTCGCCAGATTAAAAGAAAATTCCTTGAGCTACTACAGAGATTATCTGATGAATCAATTCACAAACATCTATCACAATTCTGTGTCAGTATAGAGATTTCTGCTGATAGAGTCATAGTGTTCTTCAGATAAATCTCAGTTGTGATTTTTGTTTCTGCATTCAAGCTTTGTCGTTGAACTTTGGTTTGATTTCTCTAACCAAACCATTGGTATTTACCTTTCTTCCTTTTCACTTAGTATAATCCCTTCCAACTCTATCCATGCTGTGTATATATGCTATTTCTAATGATTCATCTGTTTTGGGACATTTAGGTTGTTTCCATATCTTGGCTATTGTAAATAGTGCTGTAGTAAACACAGGAGTGCAGGCTTTCTTCCAAATTAGCGTTTCTATGTTCTTTGGGTAGATTCCTAGGAGTTGAATTGCTGGATCATATGGCAGATCTATTTTTAGTGTTTTGAGGAACCTCAGCACAGCTCTCTTGAGGTTGAACCAGTCTACATTCCCACCAACAGTAAAACATAGTTCCTTTTTCTCTATACTATGTATTCATGCTTTTAGTTAGCTTATGTGTATATGATAATCCTAATGACACAAAAAATACATGCCAACAATTATTTTGATTTTTTTTTTAATATGGGCCATTCTCATAGGTGTGAGATGATATCTCATTGTGGTTTTGAATATTTTCAGTAAGTGCAAACA